CTATGGGACAGCTCTACTCTGTTACATGGGGCTCAAGGAGTCAAAACGGACTTGAAAACACCTAACCGCAGAATGCCTGAGGGTGACCAGTTAGGACGCTGATGGAGCAAACTGAGGCAGTGGACTGGTGGGCCTGGGGCCAAGAGGACAGAATTGAAAGCTCCAAGTAGATGCCTGGAATAAGCAAACAAAGCCACAGATGAGGTGAGGGACAAAGGGACAGGCTGAGGAGAAGGGATGCTTGGAGAACGACACTTTCTTGGCAGATGCACAGAAAGGTACAACACCAGTCCTGCCCTGGAGGATGGGATTGCTTCTTGGATAGAGATTACCAAGTGTAACAAGATGTGACAATGGAAGTTTCCACCAAGTCACTAAATTACAGCGGATACTGCTTCTCAAAGCCAGAGCTAGGTGGTGTCCAGCATGGTCAGACAAATTTGCTGAAAACCACTGAAACTGTTTCTGGAAACATTTTAATAAATTGAAAAACAGTCTAATAAATGTTTAAAAATTATTATTCTCTGAATGACCACTTCTGAAAAAGAAACATTTTATGATTGTTTTCTCTTAACACACCCTCATTGCAAAATGAATTTTCCTTAGAAAAGCTTAAATTGTCCACGTGTGTTAAATCCATATGTGGACAGCAGGGGGCGCGCACTACCCGTAACTAAACCGCTCCAGTTCCTCTTAAAGACTTTGAGCAGTTTCTAGAGGAGAGGTATTCCTGGAAGATTTCTAGGCTCAGAGATGTTTCCTCTGGTGGAGGACGTGAGTGACTCCGAGGAACAAGACAGGAACAAAGCTGGCCCCAGGTTTCAAGGGAGCGACTTGGGCATTGACCTTTGTCCTCTCTCCCTTGATCCCTGAACAAATCCTTTCCTCTTCTGGAGTGGAATTTTCTCCTTCTAGTAGCGTAGTGGTTATGAATCTGGCTGTGAACCCCAAGGTCAGCAGTTCGAAACTACCAGTTGTTCCGCGGGAGAAAGATGAGGCTTTCTGCTCCCGTAAAGATTTACAGCCTCGGAAACCCTGTACAGGGTCGCTATGAGTTGGAACCGACTCCACGGCACAAAACAACACAACAATAGAGTCACTCCTATGGGGAAGAACACAAAACACATATGACACCTCTAGAAGGTTCGGTTCAGATATACCCTAGGTACCTGGGAAATATAACTGTGACCCCCCCAATTAAAATCACCTTGGGAGCTTTGAGAAATCCTGATGTCCAGACCACATCCTAGATGATGTAAATCCGAATCTCTGAGGGTGAGAACCGAACCCAAGCTTCAGTATTTGAAAACTCTCTGTAAGCGGAGCCATGCGCCCTGGGATAGAAGCTTTGGAGCCTCTCCCATTATTAACCATTGTTGAGAAGCTAGAATGTTCACCAAGGAGCTCTGGTAGTGTAGTGGTTATGAGTTGGGCTGCTAACCTCCGGGTCAGCACTGTGAAACTGCCAGTGGTTTCCCAGGAGAAAGATGAACTTTCTGCTACCATAAAGATTTACAGCCTTGGAAACCCTAACAGGGTTGCTATGAGTCAGAACCGATTCCACTGCATACTACCACCACCAGCAGCAGCATGTTCACCTGGAAGGGTCTAGGTTGCTGAGGTTTCTACACTATAGTGCAGTTACGAACTCCTGGAGGAGACGGAGCTGTTGGAAAGGTCGTTGTTGTTGTGTTGTGCTGTGGAGTCGATTCCGACTCATAGTGACCCTGCACAGGGTTTCCGAGGCTATAAATCTTTACGGGTGCAGAAAGCCTCATCTTTCTCCCACGAAACAGCTGGCAGTTTTGAACTGCTGACCCCTGAGCTTAGCAGCCTGATTCGTAACCACTAGCTGCCAGAGCTCCTTGTTGAAAAGGTTGTTGTTGTTGTTAAGTGCCGTCGAGTCAGTTCTGACCCATAGCGACCCTGAACAGGGTTTCCAAGGCTGTAAATCTTTACGGGAGCAGAACACCTCATCTTTCTCCCAAGGAGCAGCTGGTAGTTTCGAACTGTTGACCTTGTGGTTCGCAGCCCAATTTGTAACCACTATACTACCAGAGTTGGAAAGATAGGTTCCCAAATTTCACCCTCTGAAATGCTGCTTCTGGAGGTCTCCCATGGAAAGTCTAATCCAGATGGTCCTCCAGTGCCTCTTGGGGGAGGAGACCTAAATGGGGGAAGGACCCTCCATGGTTGAGGGCCATAGCAGGGAGGGGTCTGGGCTAGGTAATGGCCAGGGAGCTGAGATGAGCACAGCAGTACACTGGTGGGAACTGGACGTGACTAGAGGTGGCGCTGGTGGAAAGTCATGGCTTTTGCAGGCTCACTCCTTCTGTCTTTCTGAGCTCAACCTCTGGTCAGGGGTGCCTCAGGCTTAGCTGAACTTTCCTGCCTCCTCCCAGGGATCCCAGGTTAGACTGTTGAGTAGGTTACCAGGGGCCAGTAGATCTGGGTACAGGACCCTCTATGGCCTAGAGCCGGCCTGTTAGGGTGGCTGTTGGCTGGGTGACAAACCTGTCCTGTTTGGCCTGCACCCTCTGTCCAGAGTGGCAGAGTTTCTGAGCCACCAGGGGGCAAGCCAGAGCAACCCTGCCATCCATAGATCCTTGAGCCATCCAGGCAGCTCCTGGTGTCCCAGCATTCCTCCTGGACAGTAATCACCGTCTATGGGTCCTAGGACTGCCCTTGCAGTCACACGGGGTCTACAAGATGACCTTTCACATGGGTGAGGACAGCTTTCTTACACCATCGAGATGTCCTTCTCTCCAGGCTAAGTATCTTCCAAGTTGGATCCACTTGGGAGCACTCGCTTTATCAATATATCTTTTAAAGTGTGGTTTCTTTTCAGTCCCTGCTGTCTTCCTTGTGGACTCTGGGCCTAATTTTCAAGCCTGTTTTATAGATCTGCTTGCAATTTATTGCTTCGTTTGATTGTTCTTTCGTCCATCTGTCCATCCGTCCGTCACTGAACAAGGCTCACTGAAGTCCAGGCACTGTGATGGATGGGTACTGGGGACCACATTGCACAAGATGGACACAACCTCTGTCCTCACTGAGCTTATGGTTGGGGGACAAACAAGTAAACAGGACCTTATATTACAGCCCCCTCAGGAAATGGGAGGAAGCAACAGGTTCAGTCTGTTAACTAGCAGCCCCTGGGTGGGCCCCACAAAAGGAAGGAGAACACAGGAGTCATGAAGGAAGGCTTCTGAACCCTCTGAAATTGTAACAAAGCCTACAGAAGAGGAAAGAGAGATTCTGATTGGGAATCGTGCATTTACTAAGCATGGCTCTGTAGGATAAGCATAGGACTGTAAACCACAAACTCAGACGTTCAAGCCCACCAGCTGTTCCTTGGGAGAAAGATGAGGCTTTCTGCTCCTGCAAAGATCTAAAGCCTCAGAAACCTGATACAGGGTCACTCAGAGTCAGAACCAACTTGAAGGCACTTAACAACAACAACAACCGTGTTGAGGGCATCCTGGTGTGGCACTGTAGGATAATGACTGGACTGCTAGCCACAGGCAGATGGTTCAAACCCTCACCAGTTGTTTATTGGAAACCCTGTATAGGTCGCTATGGGTCAGAACTGACTCAACGGCACTTAACAACAACAACAACAACAACAACAACCGTATTTCAGAAGCTTCTGCTTCCTGAGCACTTTCTTCTCGTGCTCCAGGAACCGTGGGAGGAGGCCGCATTGTCGTCCCCCTTTAAGGATGAGGGGACAGCACAGGCCCATCACTGTCTGACCATCACCCTTATGAGAGGAATGAGAGTTTGAGTGAACCAAAGTTTTCTAGCATTCCATGACTTGCATAGAAATCTCACAGTCAGTGTTATAAGGAACTGGAATAAAATCTTAGTTAAATGCCTTAATCAAATCCTAATCAAATCAATAAGAAAGAGAAGTCTCAGGATCACAGAGAAACAGGCTTTGCTGACTGAGGGTGGGAGGGGCCTCTGGGCACTTGTTCTAATTCAGGATTGGGGCTGAGAGTGAAGAGGGGAAGAGACGAATGGGGTTGGAGTCTGAGTGGGCTCAAAATCTTCTGTGTGACAGTGCAGAGAACAACAGGGAAAACTGAGAGTTGTATCCAGATGTTGTTGTTGTGAAGTGCTGTTGGGTCGGTTCCGACCCATAGCAACCCTGTATAGGGTTCCCTAGGAACAGCTGGTGAGCTTGAACTGCCAACCTTGCAGTTCAAATGACTTTGCAGTCTGGTGCATTAACCCACAGCGCCACACCAGGACTCCTTAGATGCTAGTTAATTTTCCCCAGGTTGTCTGAGCATTGTTGGGGTTGTGTGGGGTTACAGTGGGCTTCCTCAGGGTACCAGGACCTGGTCAGTACTGTGGCCTGGCAGGGCCATCCTAGACTCAGTAAATGCTTTGTGGGGTGCCGGAGTGTATGTCAGAGCTTCAGTGTACCTGATCCCTCTGCTCCCCACTTCTTGAAGCAGAGAGAGAGAGAGAAAGAGGATTCCAAGAACTCTCCTGGTAAGAGGATCAGGGCTCATGAATAATGGAGAGAAAAAGGAGTCCTGAGAGCTTGGTCCACTCAGGTCCAGCTCTTCTCAGGAGGCCCAAGCCCTGGGTCAGCGATAGCTCTGCCCTCCTGGGCTGTGAGGCTGGGGGGGCTTTGTGGTGCCAGGGTAGCCTCCCTGCTAAGAGACCAGGTGAGAAACAGATGCCCAGGGCTTGGTGTCACCTGATTCTCCATGAGGGGAGGAGAGGAGAAGCGAGTAAGGAGGACAGCCTGCCCTCTGCCCCATGAATAAATGATGAGGCCCAAGGAGAACATCTGCCCGGGGCACGGAAAGGCTGAGAGAAAACACCAGTTTCAGGGGCCAGTGGAGAGGGAGGGGGCACCAGTCACACTGGGGGCACTCAAGAGCTAAGGAAGACGAGCACCTGAGCTTCAGGAGGTGTGAGGAGGTGAGCTGGTAAGCTGGTAAGCCAGGACCACTGAGGACCAGGAAGAGGCGACTGACAAGATGATGCCCCAGAAGAAAAAGAGGAAGAAAGACATCAACTTCCTGGCCCTGTATGAGGAGGAGGTGCTGAACTATGCCTCAGACGAAGGTGACGAGGAACTGGAGCATGAATACTACAAGGCCAAAGGTATGCGGGGCCCGTGGGGCAAGTTCAGATCCCAACCCAGACCCTTCTCACTGGGGCACAAATACTACAAGGCCATAGGTGTGCGGGGGGGGGTCCCACCCCCTCCATACACAGAGTAGACAGGGGCCTTCAACTTAAACATCCTCTAGCCAGGTGGGGGGGGGGGGGGGGGGGCCCAGGGCAGGGGTTGGGGTGCAATTTCAGATCACAGCCCAGCCCCTTCTCACCAGGTTCTGTCTGGTGAGTCAGGCTTTCATTCTCAGCCAGTGCACCTCCTGCACGGCCACTACCTGTCTGCCAGTGGAGCGGGTGGTTCTTCCAGACTGAGATGAACCAGGAAGAAAGTCCTGGTAATCTACTTCTGAAAGTCACAGTGGGCTGATCTGCAGCCAATCACGAGGACCATGTTCTGTTCCACTGTGCATGGGTTTTCCATGAGTCAGGCAGGCTAGCCTTGTCAGAATTGACAACATCAGCCACAGGCATCATGCCAGGGTCCCCACCGTACACAGAGGGGAAGTGACTTGCACTTATTCACAGAATCCTATGTACAGATTAGACTAGAATCAGTGCCCAAATTCTTTAGTTCCTACACTTCCCAAGAGTCACGGTCCAGCCATGGCCCTCTTGGATATGGTCTGCCTTTGGGGAGTGCCCTAAACACCCTGGGCTAGGAAGGGATGTTTTGTGTCCCTCAGCCCAGTGTGTGTGTCCCTCAGCCCATGCTCAGCAGGGCTGGAGTCTACTGTTCTCCGAGGCTGATGGAGGTGGAGGCTTTGTGATTTGTAAAGAGACATCTGGCCTGTGCACAGACCCGAAGGCCTTGTCCTCTCACCTCATCTTTCTTGGAGCATCTGTCTAGGTGAACCAGAGAAGTGGTAAACTGGGACCCGTGGCCCGTTTTGACTTGCAGAGATAATTGATCTTAACAATGTTTTTGATGGTGGATTTACCTCACAGTCTCCCCTACTCTTTATCGTATCACCCTGGTTTTATTTATCATCTCATATAATGTTGTGTTCACTGCTGCAACTGCCAGGTCCCCGAAGGCATTTAAATTCTCAGAGTGGTCTCTACATGGCCTCATGAGTCCCTGTAAGCACCCCATTCAGCCATTCCTTTCTTTGTTCATTCAACAAACGTTGATTGTATCTGTGATGGAATAGCTGAGAGGAGCCATACAGCCATTTCCCAAACAAGAACTCACCGGCTAGCCAGACTGCTGCAGGGCACTGGTGGTAAGTGTGGATGAGGCAAACAGGGGTCACAATCTGGGCTTCATTGTTACCTTCTGAAGCAAGGCCTGGTGATTTACTTAAAAAATATCAGCCCATGAAAACTCTTTGGAGCAAGCTCTACTTGGACACACATGCGTTGGAATCAACTCAATGGCAACTGAGCTGGGCTGGATGGTTCTAGAAAGACTGTCTCCCACCCCCTCCGTGCTACAAGGTCTAGTGTTACATGGAGCATCTTGGGGATCGTAGTGAGGGGGAAGGAGAAGGGCAAAGGAAAGATCTAGGTCTCTCTTTACTGTTGTCTAGTTTTTCCTGTTGTTGAACTTCATCTAAATGTACTCAAACAGCATAATATACATATCATACACACACACACACACACACACACATATGTTGTGGTTGTTAAGTGCTGTCGAGTCGGTTCCGATCCATAGCGACTGTAGAGGATTTCAGGATTTCAGAGGAGCAGTTTCAGAGGAGCAGCTGATGAATTTGAACCACTGATCATGCAGTTCAAACTTATCTTGTAGTCCAGTGCATTATCCTGGAGCCACACCAGAATTCCATAT